CGACACCAGCACATGAGATTTCATCATATTAGTGAAGGTTTTGTGCAGAACCATCCACACTTTTTGAGGGCCGAATACAGAGACTTGGTGCACTGCGTGCTAAACGACCCCTCCGCAGGTTTTGAATTCAACATTGTCCTTCTCGTAGATTTTTACATACATATTCTTCGGATAAACACGTCAATGTCCGAGAAGGCCCAATTCATACAAGAGCGACTTCACAGACCAGAGAATAAGACGCACATTAGGATGATGGTCCCGGGTCACACTTGCTTGGCAGATGGTAATTAACGAAGTCCCGAGTTTAATAAAATACAATATTATACATGAGAGATTCAACCTCGACTTCGACTGCGCAACAATACTATTATACATGAGAATCTTGAAAAGCATAAAAGAGCTTATCAGTGATTCTGTATTTATTTTTATATGTATTCGTGTCTTCTTTTATCTCATCTTCTTGCTGAACTGGTGATATTGGTACTTTGATCAAGTCATCCATGACCTTCTTTGCTTATGCCATCGTAAATATGTATTCCAGCAGTAAAGAATGTTTTTCTATATCATAAACACTGGAATCATAATCTACTTAATGTCCTCTAATAATATAAATGTCATTAGTTGTTTATACGCACAGCCTAAATCACATAACGCCTTCCTATAATATTGAATTTGGTGCTGTTGTAATAATAAATTTTAAGATGGGCGTTTAGTTGATGAATATTGGAAAAGCTAGAGGCGTTAATTAATGAGAATTTAATCGGCATGCTACTGTTTTGCTTTGGTGTTCATAGGCATGACATTTGAAATATAAAAAGTAAAATGTTGCCTAGGGCTAAAAGGATAATTAAAATACCTTGAAAAGAAAGTAATTAACCCAAAAATCTCCCAGTAAACTGTATACTGACGAAGAACCTCACGACAATTTGACGTTGAAAGAGTGTGGTCGTAAAATGTGAAGATTTGTCATTTTCTAAACCAAAAAAAAAACAAAAAAAAACAAATCAGTTTTAGTGTAGATGCACGAACGTACAAAAAAATTATGAATTCAAAAAATCATGACATGACTTTTCAGAGAACGGTTTTCCATTTAATCAAACGAGTTTTACTCGAAATAGCATTTCTTTGAATGACTTTTAAAAGAGCGATTTTTCATTTAACATCTTTCATCGAACAAACTTTCATCAAAACAGATTTGCTCTGACTGAGTTTTCATGGAAATTGTTTTCATTGAAAAAAAAAAAAAAACTCTTCTTCAAATGACCTTTCATCTAACCAGTTTCCGTCGGACGATTTTTCCTCAAACAATTTTTCATTGGAACGAACTTTCTTGGAACCCCTTTTTCATCTAGATCACTTTTACGCAAATACCTTTTCTTCGAAACATTTTTTTCTTTCCATTTTTTTTAAACGATTACTCAGAGAAATGACATTTCTTTGAATGTCTTTTAAACCCAGTGTCTTCTCAGTGAAAGAGATTTTCACTGGGCGAATTTACATCGAACAACTTTTTCTTGAAACGATTTTTCATCATAAGAATTTTCATCGAAATGGCTTTTCACTAAAACAACCTTTCGTTGAAATACTTTTATTCGAACGACTTTTATCGAAACGATATTCCTTATAATTTCAAACAAATTTTCCTGGAATCGACTTCTAAAAGACTTACGATCATCTCACTTTAAAATACCAGTTCCCGTACGATCTCCGAAGTTAAACAACATGGAGTCTGGTCAGTACTTAGATGGGTGAAAGCGTGTGAATAGCAAGTGCTGTGCGGTTGGTGTTAATGGCTAGGAATTATTATCAGTTTCAATTTCGGTTAAGTTCCTTAGACTTACTCTCGCACAAATAGCCTTAGCAAAGGTATGATTCCATATCTTTCCTCCAGCTATGGGTTAATTAGTAAAAGTTGTGTCATGAGACAATTATTTCATGTGATCTGAAATATTTCCGGTTTAAATAATATCTAAAGTGTTGATAAGCAGTAGAAAATAAAAGAATTAATAAGTTTTATAGAAGAAAAAATTTTTTATAGAAATTAAGTTTTATGAGAACAATTTACATAAGTATGGGTTCGTACCAAATCCAGAGAGTGAAAGAACAATAGCGTTGATTGCACGCAAACACTCAACATTTACTCAAACGGCTTTAGAGTTTGTAGAAATGTCCATTATCTGTCTATATTTCTGAGATGAGGTATTATATACACTATTTACATTATTGGGACTATTGTCCTCATCCAGTGAGCGAAATACAGGGTTCAGTTCGACATTCCAACCAACTGAAGAAGGCCGGAGCGTACAACGGCCGAAACTTTGTAATAAATATGGCGACAAAGATGAGGACAATAATCCGAATAATGTAAATAGAAATGTTCACGTTCGAGCATTTCCACAAGGCTGTTTGAAACCTACTCCTGGGTAAAACGATAAACTACATCCGGCAGCAAGGCCTCCGATTGGGAGATTGGAGCTTTTGAGGAATGTGGAACTACATCTTAATTGATGTTGTTTCAGGTTCCACTCTGAACTGGGGGGGGTAGCACCTGTTAGGGTCCCAGGTATGGACAAATAGTGAACCCCCAATCAAAAATTAACTAATTAAGTATAATACTACATTTCCTTTTAAATCAAAATTACCAGCAATCCATTTTATAGAATTGCGTTCAAAGATTTAGATTTCGGCATTAAATAAAACATATAGGTCTATATGCCGCTAAACAAAATCAAACAAAAACATTTGAAACAGTTTGACTAAGAATTCTATTTAGAATTTCCATCATGGCAACTAATGCTCTTTTACCAGACGAGCAACAACAAATATCCATTTTCAATTGCCGTGGTTTAATAAATACCGTTGTTGATTAAAGTAAAAGTCGTTGCTCTTACTTTTAACGTGAAAGTTCGAAAGATGACGTACACCGTATAAATTCGACTTCTGTCAGGCAAATTAAGGAAGCTTTACAAATCTTTCTCGTTACTTCTGCGTTGCTAAGCTGATTCTTATAATACCGAGCGGCTTATTCTTCAATTGCCAACGGTTGTTTGAAATTAATTACGAAATGCACAGAGATAAACATCGGGTTTAAATTAATGGTCATAGAATTGGGCTGCCAGCTGAGAAATGTTAGATTCTATGGGAGCTATGTGAAAGTTCTCTGCAAAAAAAAAACAAAAAAAAACGTTATTTACGTATCGAGAAAATTGTTCGAAAGCAATCACTCTAAAAATATTTATTCGAATTGTAAATTGTTTAAATGAAAATTAATCGAAAGGATAACTTAACTGAACTTGGTCAATTTACAAGGAAACCATTTTAAGGCTATTGGTTCGGAAGTGAATTTACCAATCTCGAACGGAATTTGAACTCGGTTCATCGATTGACACTTACCGAGCCTCTAACCATGAACCCAAACGTACATACATACATGTGAGGAAAGATGGAGAAATGATTTCTATTAGAAACAAAAATCCCTAACAGAAGGAAAAACCTAATTAGATATGTGGATGTAGGTTGGATCGCGAATAATTTTACACTCCTAATAGATAGATAGATAGATAGATAGATAGATAGATAGATAGATAGATAGATAGATAGGAGACTTGTTATAAGATGAAGAAAGAAAGAAGGAAAGACAGAAAGAAAGAAAAGAAAGAAAAGAAAGAAAGAAAGAAAGAAAGAAAGAAAGGGAAACAAAACATAGACTGGATAAGCTAGCTAGCTAGCTAGCTAGATAGATAGATAGATAGATAGATAGATAGATAGATAGATAGATAGATAGAGATGCATGCATGAACGGACTGAGAGAGAGAGATATATAAGATAAATGCATAGATAGATAGATAGATAGATAGATAGATAGATAGATAGATAGATAGATAGATAATCAACAGACATAGATAGATAGATAGATAGATAGATAGATAGATAGATAGATAGATAGATAGATAGATAGATAGATGTGGGGCGCTACTGATAATAAATGTTGTGAGAGCGATGAGAAAAACCGAATTAAAAAGGAAATAAATCAGTAAATATGAAAGAAAGAAAGAAAGAAAAACAGAATTGTCTTGTAATAGATAGATAGATAGATAGATAGATAGATAGATAGATAGATAGATAGATAGATGCATGAACGGACTGAGAGAGTTAGGCAGATAGATATATAGAGAGATAAATGCATTAATAGATAGATAGATAGATAGATAGATAGATAGATGTGGGTGCTACTGATGATAAATTTTGTCAGAGCGATAAGAAAGAACGAAACAAAAAGGAAAGAAGTCAGTAAATATGAAAGAAAGAAAAAAAAAAGAGAATTGTCTTGAATTTAGATAGATAAATAGAAACATATATACATTCATATATACATACATACATACATGCATACATACATACGAGTAGGACAGCCTTATTCTCATTCCTAATTTTAATTTTCCCTCGATTTCAATCAACTCTATTCATTGCTGTGGAAGTCAATTGTTAACCGTGAACTACGCTCCGCGAATGTCCAGTTTTCATTAGTAAATAGAATTCGCCACTTCCAACACTCGCCAACGGCGCTCGCGGCCATTTTAATAAAATGATAGCTTGGCTCTTCGACAGGACGTTACGCCGAGTTGACAAATCGCTATACATTCGCATACTCTTTCTCTTTTCAACTGAATTGAACGGCAGCTAAGTTTTGCCGTTGTAACTTTGCAATTTACAACAAAACCTGCCATGTGCAGTGATGGAATTCCTGGGAACGGGTCAGCAGAGATTGACGGAGAAAGACTCACTGAAAGAGATTGATAAATGAATTAGTTGAGAAACATTATGTTACCCTTTCTCCATTGCTGTAAATTCATCATAATAGTCATAGAAATTACAACTGAAATTAAGAGGCCTTTCTTTTGCCAGAATTTGGTTAAGCGTAAGTGGATTGTGTGTTTGTTTGTTTGTTTAACGGCACATCAATTTCTTATAGGTTATTTAACGCCCAAAAAAAAAAAAATTTTTGAGAGCCGAAGTATTTTTTTTTCTTTTTAAAAAAATATGTTGCTGGTAATTTATTCTATTGGTGACTCACTATTTACCCATAGCTGGGAGATTACCAGGTGATATCACAGTGATTCACAGTCGACCGGGGAACAACAACAACAATTCAAAACCTCCCGATCAGTGGTATTGCTGAGGGATGTAGTCTATCGCCATATAGAACATCATATATATATATATATATATATATATATATATTGCTTGGAGATCTTCCATGCTAACAAAACAGACTATCATTGTTGCTATGTCCGTGTATTGTTTAATTCATTGTAATGTATTTATCATCTCTGATGATGGCTAATGGTAGCCGAAAGCTTAGATAGGATTAATAAACATGTATCAATATGGGGATTTTCTTTCGTTTTTCAATGATAATGTTATTAAGCTTATCAGACAATATGAAAGAAATTTGCTTAAAATAAATAGACAAAAATTTGTCTATATTATTTAATGAAACATGCATTAATGAAAAATGCTGCGTAAATACACACACAATATATATATATATATATATATATATATATATATATATATATATATATATATAACTTGGAGCGATTTTAAATGTGAATCAAGTTTAAACGTCTAAGAATTTTTTTTTTTTGCTTTCAGATTTGGCGGACATTTGGGAGATATTATTTTTCACCCATAATTGCCATGACTTAAATAACTTGATCCAATAGAGTATTAAATAATTTTTCGCCAATAACACTGATTTATTTACTGCTGACTTTGATCCGTCTTAATTAAACACCCTTTTATATATATATATATATATATATATATATATATATATATATATATATATATATATATATATATATATATATCAAATATATGGTGCAGTTCAATTTATATTCCATGAATCGTTCATATAAAAAACAGTATGGTGAAGTTAATGATATAAATGGCGAGAATACATCTTCGCAAACAAATTTATTAAATTTACATTAACCCACGAAACTCTAGATGTATCCTGTGATCCCTTTTTTAAATAAATTCAACTTGTATAAGGTCTTTTTTTGCTAGTACTTTCATCCGTTCATACATAGCAGAATCATCAGACCAGACCTGACATCAGTACTCAATAATAATGCTAACACATGATACAACAGCTGATAAGTTGAACCTGACACCCTTTCAACAGCAGATAATTTGTTAAGAAATATTCACTTATCGATCTATTTAATCAATATGCACTACTAAAGAAAGACCAGCGTCTCGGCGTGGTGGATGTTAATGTTTAGCAAATCCCTTCTAGGTGACCATAACTACTGAGTAACGAGTTTGACCCTCACTGGGTGTTCCATAAAAATGCAACCTTCAATAAGATGCAAGATATTTTATTACTTAGAGTAATGTCTTCATATTCGCCATTTCCCACACTGCCGGCCTAATTCCGAGGTCCGCCAACCCGTGTAACATTCATTTCGAGTTGAATCCTTTTTTTTTATTCTAAGGGGGTGGACATTCGATCTTTTTTCACTGTTTATATCTAGAAGTATATGTATATTTTTTCTTTTTCGGTACTTTTCAGGTATTCCTAGCCCTGTTTACAATGAATCTGAAACTGTTCTATCCGTCCCGGGGATTGATCTCAAGAGCCAAGGCCTTATTCCTCTAGCCTATTATCCCGTGTGTCGTACGAACCAAGCGTGGTAAATATCGGAAATATAGCGTTTATAGATAAAGACACAAGATAACACATTCACTACATCGTTATGCAAAAAGGCTACAAGTAGAAACTCTTGCCACACTAAATTTACTTGTGAATGTCCACTTAAATATGAAATAGCTGTCATAAAAAAAACTTTCCTAGAGAGAGTGCACGAGGATTCATTCTCTCGTCTGCTTTTCTTTACAGAACTCAACAATGTAAAACAGACTCTAGTTAATAACGGTTTTCCGAATTACCTCATAGATCACCAAATTAGTCGATTTCTTTTTAACGTAAACGATTAACAAAACTGAACATACAGATAAAAAGGGGATTAGCATTTTCTATAAAATATTAAATACAAAAGATGTCGAATACAATCAGGGTGAATTTTCACTTAGAAAACTTATAAAGAAATACTCAATCCCAGCTGAACAGAACAAGAAAATTAAATTATCTCCTATGAAAAATGAAAGCCGCTTACCTAATAATCAGCAACAACTCATCTGCAAGGTCCAAATTAGAGAGAACCAATATTATTTATGAGTTCACATGTCTCTTGAGTAACTGGGATCATGATCAAACTAAATCCATGATAAATCATATTGGACATATGACAACATGCCTATTAAGACGATTCATGTTACATCTCTTTGACCATCGCTCAATTAAGACTCATTTAGACACACAGAAAACCTACCAAAAATGCATTCACAAAATGCCCGTAGAATATACAACTATAATAGTTTCATCCACATGTAAAAAAATTATTAAAAATAATGGAAGTATAAAAAGAAAAAGTCAAAACTCTGAACACGGACACAATGTGCTGACAGTGTTTGGAAAATAAAAAAAACATTCTCATAATTATAAACACATACATAAAAATCTACACATTTAATTTGAATTGAAAATGAAAATAAAAAAACAAATCCTTGAAAATAGCTAAAGAATAACCGAAAGCGCCTGGACATACAAAATGTTCGGACAAAATTTACACACTTTATGTCTAGAAAGAATAATTTATATGACTACAAGAAAATTACATGAAAGGCTTAAACTTATTACCTTGTCAAATTGATTGCTGTCCAAATACACATTAAGAGAGAGAGAGAGAGAAAGAGAGAAAGAGAGAGAGAGAGGGGGGGAAGAGAAAGAGACGGACAAAAGAAAAAGATTTCTTGACCAAAGCGCGTCATTTGATTGGCTTTATCAAGGTAAACGGAAGGGTTTTATTTTTAAACATGTATTTATAAACAGAAGTAAAAATATCGTTAGGCTTTTAAAGTTTAAAAACTCATAAAATTATCATTAAATTACCAAAGGAATGATAAACCACGGGAAGGGGATGCTAAGTGATGTCTTTTAAAGCGCAACAGAAGAATAAGAAACCTATTTAAAGAGAAAATGACTTACTTAAATGGAATATTCCTGAGTTCCGATATCGAATCTTGCCAAAATTTCTCCTTTCTTAAATCTCATCTTTGTCGCCATATTTATTACAACGTTTCGGCCGTTTTACGCCCCGGCCTTCTTCAGGTGGTTGGAATGTCGAACTTAACCCTTTATTTCGCTCACTGGGGTAGACTGTTCTAGTTCCACGTACCATGTTTAATGGATCTCAGTTATGAGAAAGTTCTCCATTGCCTTAACTGGGTATTGACCTCACACTCTTTGGGTTCTGTCACTGGATCTAACCAACACCTTTATCCACTATGCCATGTGTCCTCGTGTATGACTTTCTGGGTATTATAAACCTAATGTCTTCAGCAACCATTTTTACCAGTGCTCATATTGCAATTTGTGCTGTTATCATTTCATGTTTTTACCTGAGCTCATATTGCAACTTTGTTGTTATTATCGCTTTTCTCTGGCACTCCTTATTACTGGTTCTCATATTGTATTTATTTCTATGCTTGGTCGGCTCAGGAGATTTTTGTGGCCTAGCATATATGCTGATTCCTTAAGTTTACGAATTTTCCATTAAACATGGCACGTGGAACTAGAACAGTCTACCCCAGTGAGCGAAATAAAGGGTTCAGTTCGACATTCCAACCACCTGAAGAAGGCCGGGGCGTAAAACGGCCGAAACGTTGTAATAAATATGGCGACAAAGATGAGATTTAAGAAAGGAGAAATTTTGGCAAGATTCAATATCGGAACTCAGGAACATTCCATTTAAGTAAGTAATAAATATGGCGACAAAGATGAGGACAATAGACCGGATAATGTAAATAATGTACATAATACCTCATCTCAGAAATATCGACAGATATTTTTTTTTTTTTTTTTTTTCAAATTAAAAGCAAATAGGTAAATAAAATCCAAGGACATTGCAGATTCTTCTTTGGACTTCACCCTCAATCTCTAAATGCATAGCAGAAGCATCAGACCAAATCTAACAGCAATATCCAATTCATTTACAAATGGTTGACTTATAAATATGTAAGCTAGATTCTGGAACGAAAGATTGCCTAGCATGACACAGTGAAACATCCAGAAGATCGTAGTTGACAAGAAAGGAATAAGTTTACAGAGAATCCCAGAAAGGGAAAGAAGAAACTATTAGAATGAGACTTATGGTTAAACTTATCCATTTCAACATTAAAATAATAAGACCTAACTGGCAATCTAGTACTGCGTTTAAATTAGTGAAGTCGAGGCACCAAAGAGAAAAGCTCTTCAGAACAATTACGATGTAAATATTTTTGGGAAAGGCACAGAGATGTTAGCATAAAACTTAGGGTTAAATGTAGCCAATCCAATTGTAAGTTGATGAGACCTAGTTGCTAATCTAGTACAGCGCTTTAATTCATAAAGTCTAGGTGCCATACAGGAAAGTATATCAGAACAATTACCATGAAAGTATTCATAGAAAAGGCAGACTACGGTGGTTGGAAATTGATTGAAACTGAGATGCCAGCTCAGTACTGATAACATCGCAGATGACGATGGTGTCACGATAATGTAGAGGATTGTTGTAACTTCTTGCACAAAATCATTTTCAGTGTTTAAAAACACAACCAATAAGATTTACACTAAGAAATATTCTCAAACAAGGTGTAGATTTTACCTCACATTCTCCAATACGAATAATTAACTTTTTTAAATCATTTCACACCAAGGTGATAAAAAACTAAGACGGAAGGGGTCTCTGAATATGAGAGAACCTGAGAGAATGTTAGTGGTGCGAAAGGAAAAATAAAAGAACAGGATTCAGGGGACAGAAGATGATTATTGACATTATATTTACATGTGAGTAGATCGAAGATGACGAGAAAGGAAGAAACTAGAAGATAGATTGATTGCAAAAAGACGTAATCGAATAAACGTGAACAAAATAAAACAAAGGAAATACATTAAAATATACTTGGACCGCAATAACCTTAATTCCCCATGTATAATACGTGCACCTAAAATTGTGCTGGAAGTGTGGGAAAATACTACTATTCACGCATAATACGCACCCCTTGTTTGGTAATCAAACGCTATAAATTTTACCTCTTTCATTATGGCCATCGTTTCCTATTCTTATTTAAAAATGGTTTTAAACGTAGAATAATATTATTTTAATTTATTTTTTATGATAATTCTTATTTTACGGCAATTGTTAAAGATTTTGTGTAGCTGTGCATTATACGCACCTCTGATTTTGCTTATTATTTTGTAGAAAATGCGTATGATACATGGGGAATTACGGTAAATTTTTAAAGTAAAAAATAAAGACAAGGAAAAAAAAACGGGATAGAAATAAATTTTTTAATCGAGTTCACTTTACGCAGGGTAGTAAAACCCCTGAAGTAACAAGAGATGGCTGTATGGGGAAGAGTTAGAAAAAAATGTCTAAAGAGCGAAAAGAAAAGAAAAATAGTCAGGCGGGGTAGAAGATAGCGATGGACATTGCATTTAAGTTTTTGCATATTAAATTTGGCTGGAAATCAGGGAACCGGAAGCGAGTTCCACAATAGAGATGTTCGAGGAAAGAAACTGCTAGCATTGAATTTACGGTTCGATCTAGCCAGCTCAATTGTAAATGGAGGAGATTTCAAGGCCAGTCTCATACTATGCTTAATTTTTTTTTTAAATTCTTGGTACCATAGCGAAGAGCGCATCCGAACAATTAACATGGAATTAGTTATAGAAAAAGCAAATGGAGTCAAGGTTACGGCAGTAGGAAAGTGACTGAAGCTGAGACGAGAATAAATAAAGGTGAAGTAGAAAAAGAATATACGAGAATGAATAAAAGAAAAACTTAAATCCCTCCTGTCTTCAATCAGTGAATTTTTATCATCTATTGCTGAAAAAGTAGAATGCTTTGCTCGTAAATTCTCTTCCAAATCTATTCTCGACTAATCTACAGTATATTTACCGATTTTTTCTCAAAGAACTGATTCTCTACTGAGTTCTATGTGCATAACTTCGTCCATGGTTGCAGCTATTATCACTAAAGTAGATCTTCATAAATTATCCGGAGTTGAGTTCCAATTTCGCAATTTATTCATATTGATTCCGTAATATAGCTATTATGTTTCTCTAACTCTTCAGATGTTGAATGTATAACTAATTATAACATCTTTACACTATATTAATTTTATCTTATGAATTGCCCCTGTTCTGTCACCTCCGAAATAAAAATATTTTTTGTACGGAAAATAAGTATTTACGTACATCAAATTTTAAGTGGCAGCAGAAGAATTATCGCTGAACTTTTAAAAGGTAAGCTTAGATATTAATTTAGTACTTAAATGCAGCGATCAATTTTGAATTCTTCTGTTGCATCTATTCCTTCCTAGCTGTTGGGGTGATGGCCAAACCAAGAGCCCTCCATAGGAGCCAACTTAAATGCCGCTCGATCTGACGGCTTTTAAGCTAGCTTAAAATTTTAGGTGCAATTCTCGATACAAAAGGAAAATAAGAGTTATTCCCCTTGAACCATGAAAGCAATGATAATGGCTAGTAAAATATATGAATATATATCTTTAACATCGTATAAATTGGCAACCCTGCATATGAGCTCAACGAAAATCGTTCCCTGGGCCAAACTTTTCTAGTGCTTTTGAATGAGCTATGAATCATTGAAAACGGACCAGTGGAAGCGGAGGAGTTGCTTGGGCACACACACCCACAAGCACACATACACAGTACTTTATATATAAGATACGATTTTATCTCCTTTCAGGCAAACGCCGAAGTATTAACTGTTTTTGGTGAATTGTATATCAAGCTTTAGATTCGAACAGGAGGCTCAGGCTGTGGCTTTCGCTCTCCTTGGATTTACGTTGTTTCTGCTCTTCATCAACGCCTTTCTCGATCTCATTATCTTGGTAAATATACTGATGACACAAGCATTTACTCATGTTTTATTTGTCTGATATGTCCTACAAAGTAAAATTGGTAGCTTATCTTGAAAATTATCACATATCAATTGTTAACTGGGGCAAGAAATGGTTTGCAAATGTAAACGCCTTTAAAACAAAATTGCTATATTTTATTACACACTGTACAAGCATCAAGAGACACACGAAGTAGAGAATTACAGAGTAAGACACCCATTTTATGGGGATGTGTGATGAAGCTAACGGTTAACACTAGACATGAAATGATTAAGATTGCAGCGGTTAGGAAAGCATCCTCCTGGGAGTAGGTTCTACATATCAGGCCATCCCATAAGTTCTGTCCGAATTTTGAATAAAGAAAACAAGTGACCAAACAATGTATTTTCCCTGATTATCTATGTCTTCCTTCCATCTATTAACAAGCTTACTAATTCCATTACTGTAAGATTCTTTTGGCTTTGATTCGAAGAACTCACAAATGGCAGTGTTAACCTCTTCCTGTGTTACAAAAGCTGTTTCTTCCAAATGATTCTGTAAGCTACGAAACAAATAGTAGTCTGAAGGAGCAAGATCGGGAGAATAAGGTGGATGAGGAATTTTCTCCCAACCAAGTTCTTCGATCTTTTGTGACCTGATTCTTGCTGTGTGGGGTCGCGCATTGTCCTGATGAAATATCGCCTCTTTTCGATTCACTAGAGCAGGTCTTTTTTTCCTCAAAGCTTGGTTCAAACGCTCTAATTGCTGACAGTATATTTGAGAATTAATTGTTGCATTAGGTGGTAAGAATTCAAAGTGGATTATTCCTTGGCGATCTCACCAGATTGAAAGAAGAACCTTTTGCCCA